TGGGTGTGTGTGTGTGTGTGTGTGTGTCTTTGTGTGTGTTTGTTCGTGTGTGCATATGTACGCATGGGGGGAGACAAAAATTTGAGAAGTCATAGAAAATTGGAAATGATTTATTTGAATTTAAATAATTAAGTGAGAAATAACATAAAAATAAGTTTTACATTTTGAATCTGACTATAGTAAAAATGTGGGAACACAGAAGGAGAGAGAATGGTGGACACGATATGGGAATATGGGCCGCTGGCCCGCAGCAGGTGAGAAGGCAGGTCTTGGGAGAGCCTCTGGATAGAGGCCATGGTAATTCTCATTGAAATATTGTTCTCTTTAGAAAAAAACTAATCTGATACACTTTTCCTTCTCAATTTTTTTCCAGCTCTTGCAAGCTTAGGATATGAAAAGAGCTGTGTGTTGTTCAATTGTGCTGCCTTAGCTAGCCAGATTGCAGCAGAGCAGAACCTGGATAATGACGAAGGATTGAAAACGGCTGCTAAGCAGTACCAGGTATGCAGAAAAGCCGTGCTCACGCAGGGAAGCACGCTGGACTCAGGGAGCGATTGGCATTTAGATGATAGGGGCTGCCTTCTTCAGGACAGATGCTCTGGGAAAGTCATGCTCTTAAGTAAACTGGTCCCTGCTGAGTCTCTTAGATAAACACTTGAGCACTGAGGCACTTGTTCTATTGCCCATGTCTGTCTTTTCTCACCGTGTACTTCCACCCAGCACCTAGCACAGTGCCTGGCACATAATAGAGGCTCAATGAATGTTGATTGGACAACAAAGATGAAATACGTGGGGTGAATGCCATACATTCGTGGAAAACCTCTTACAAATAAATGACTTCATTCAAAAATGGTTCGACAGCTGGGCGCACACCTTTAATCCCAGCACTCAGGAGGCAGAGGCAGGCAGATCTCTGTGAATTCGAGACCATCCTGGTCTGCAAGAGCTAGTTCCAGGACAGCCTCCAAGGTCACAGAGAAACCCTCGAAGAACAAAAACAAACAAACAAACAAACAATGGTTAGACATTTGTGTGTGTGTGTGTGTGTGTGTGTGTGTGTGTGTGTGTGTGTGTGTGTGTGTGTGTCTTAGGGCTTGAAATCAAGATGTCAGGCTTGGTTACAGGCATCTTCCCATACTGAGCCATCTTGCTGGCCCCATGGTCGTCCAGTTAACACAGTGACTTTGAGTTGTTGTCTGCATGGCCTACCAAGCTAACCCACTTTAAAATTCCATGTTGACTTGATTTCTTCCTTTTTCTCAGCTTAATTTGTTTCAAAAAAGTAATTTTAGTAGTAACCTCAACAAAATAAAATTGGGAAGAAAAATGTGAAGGGGGACATTTCACTGGGAAGTCTTGAAGGACAGATGGAAATGTCTGTCAGTGTCATTGCTGGCCCTCAGAGTTTGCCACTTGGGGTGTTTTCTAAGACCGGTATACTTTCTTGAAACATGACTTGTTTGGGATAAAGGCAAGGGCATTTCTATACTAAGAACAAATGAGTAGAGGCTAGAGGAATGTCTCAGTCAATAAAGAAAGCACTTTGTAAGCTCAAGGACCCAAGTTTGATCCCTAAAATCCGTGCAATAGACGCTGCCTTGGAGGTGTATGATTGTAATCCATTTCCTGGGGCTTGCTGGCCAGGCAGTCTAGTCTCATGGGTGAGCTCCAGACCAGTGAGAGTCCCTGATTCAAGGAAGTGGGCAGTGGCTGTGAAAGATGATACCTGGGATTGTCCTCTGGTCTAAAAACACACATACACACACACACACACACACACACACACACACACACACACACACTGTCTGTGCTCACATGCATATATGCTTGTGTACACACACACACACACACACACACACAGAGCCATTTGAATAGTTTTATCTTTACCTGTTCTTAGCTACATTTTGAAGACTTGTATCTAATAAATTAACCCTGATCCCCTTTTGCCAATCTCTTTGCTCTCTCCCCATAGTCTAAACTTGTTGTTGCTCTAGAATTGTGTTGAGGCCCCTGTCTGTGGATGAGATGCTGTAGAATGTATGAGTTAGTTACTGTCTTCTTACTTGGCCTGTAGATGTTTGTGTGGAACAGCAGGAAATTAAGTCTCAATATTAAAGAGGTTTTTTTTCCCTCTCCTTCTAGTTTGCTAGTGGTGCCTTTTTACATATTAAAGACACAGTTTTATCTGCCTTAAGTCGAGAGCCTACTGTGGACATATCTCCAGAGACTGTTGGGACCCTCAGTCTTATTATGCTGGCCCAAGCTCAAGAAGTATTTTTCTTAAAAGCCACAAGAGGTAACTCAATTTCTTCTTTACTGTGTTACATGTGAAAGCAAGTGCTAGGTTTTTATACCAAGATAGTGATTAGATCATTGAACAGTCACCTCATTTCAGAGGGAGAATTACCTGGAGGAAGACAGCGTGCTCTCTGTGTGGTGGCTGGTGGTCTGGTGGCAGGATGGCTGTGGGACTGCTGCATTTGAATTACTTTGTAAAGAATGATTTCTTTTACGTTTTTTTTAAAGACATATATTTATTATGTATACAGTATTTGGTCTGCATGTATGCCTCCAGGATAGAAGAGGACACCAGATCTCATTACGGATGGCTGTGAGCCACCATGTTGGTGCTGGGAATTGAATTCAGGACCTCTGGAAGAGCAGTCAGTGCTCTTAACCTCTGAGCCATCTCTCCAGTCCCCTTCTTTTAAGATTTGATTTAAGTGCTTATGCAAGTGTCTGTGCCCTGTAGGTGAAAAAAGGGCCTGTGTCCTCTGGGCCTGGAGTCACAGGCATTGTCAGCCACTTGATATGGGTGCTGGGATTTGAACTCTGTTCTTCCTGATTGAGCAGCAAGTGCTCTTAACCATTGAGCCTTCCAGAAAAGTTTCTTTAGGGCAGTCTTGTTTAAACTAGATTTCAATGACAAGAAGAGCTGTTCAGGCAGTGTCTTTGGTGACTAGGGGGATAAGAACAACTCTTACAAATGTATGTAAGTCAGTGTGAGAGAGATACAGACTGAAGGTCTAAGTACAGAGAGATCGAAGATGCAGAAGAAGCATAAACATAACTTATTTTTTTCTTAAAATGGCAACTTAGTTGGGTGTGGTGACTCATGCTTGTAATCCTTACATTTGGGAGACTGAGACGGGGATTGCTGTGATATTGAGGCAAGGCTAGGTTACCTAGTAAGTCTCAGACTAGTTTGGCAACTGTCTGAAGCCCTGTCCCAAACACACACAAAATTCCATATCTGGTGACTCATACCTGTAGTCAGAGCAGTTAGACTTAGGCTGAGTTGGAGACCGTCTGGGTTACAGAGTGAGGCGGGGAGGGAAGCAAGAAGCAGATTACATGGAGATAGAAGTCATATACCTTAACATTCCCCTTTTGACTTTATAGTGCAGTGTTTTCTGGAGTAGTCACAGAACTTCATAGTCGCCACCACCTTATGTTGGGATGTCACCACTCCCAAGAACAACTCTAATGTCAGGACCCACTCCTTTCCTTCTGCTGCAGCTACCAGCAGCCATTGCTCTATGTCTGTAGCTTTGACTTGTTTGTGGAATTGTTTATTTACTTATTTAGAAACAGGCTTATGTAGCCTATCCCTTGGTTTAGGCCCAAAGTACTATATATAGGCTTACATCACCATGTTTTGCTAACTGTGAAATAGTTTTTATGCAGAAGACTAAATTTCACCAGTGTGATTTCTTTTGACAGATACATAAATTCTATTTTTGTCTTTTTTTTTTCTTTTAAATGTGTATGGGTGTGTAGTTGCTATATGTATGAGTGATTGGTACCACTGGGGGCCAAAAGAGGGCATTGGATTCCCTGGAACAGGAGTTAAGACATGTGTGAGCTGCCATGTGGGTGCTGGGAACTGAAACTGGGTCCTCTGGAGGAGCAGCCAGTGCTCTTAACTGCTGAGCCAAGGCTCCAGTCCCTGATGAATACATTTTTATTATTATTATTTTTTTGATCTCAGTGTCTGTGCCAAGTCATGTATCAGGTTATCTCATTTATTTGTGGGGGGGGGGGGGAGAGTGAGAGTGAGTGTTTGTGTGTGTTGGGGGTGAACACAGGCACATGTTTGCCATGGTGCTTATGTGGCGGTCAGAGGGCAACTTTGAGGAATTGGTTCTCTCCTTCCACTGTGAGTTCCAGTGATGGAATGCAGGCTGTCCAGGTTATGCAGTGCATACGTAGATTTACCTGCTGAGTTTTGCTGCTGGCCCTTGTCTCCTTTCCTTCAGTTATAATGATCATTTAACATCTTATTCCAGATAAAATGAAAGATGCCATTATAGCTAAGCTGGCAAACCAGGCTGCAGATTACTTTGGCGATGCTTTCAAGCAGTGTCAGTACAAAGACACTCTCCCCAAGGTCAGTTACTGTCTTCATAGACACTTGGTAGTTTTGCATGTGGACTCTATATATGAGAAACAAGTTGAAAAGTATGTTTTAACAAAGACATCTGGGTATTTTAATGAAGCATTTGAAGAATAGTTTCTAGAATGTTTTCTTACGTTTTAAGATGCATGGAGATGCCTTTCTATTTACTCTTCACTAAATTTATTTTTCTGAGCTAAAACTCTTTCTGGAAATTATCTGTCCCCCATCATTTTATCATCCTGTAGTTTTGGAAGAAGCATGGATATGGGGCATGTCAACAACTCACATTTTTAATCATTATCCTGTTTTCTTAAGGATGAGCCTTAAAGTGCAAAAAAAAAAAAGACAAAGAAAAGAGGGAAAGAAAACCTAAATTCATCTGATGCCTTGATTAGAATTAAGTTTAGCCAGCAGGCTTAGGAAATTTGGCTTTCACTGTCTGCTTTCAGAAGGGTGGCGGGAAAGAATGCTCAGGGATTACAAATGACAAAGCATGTGACCAGCTGGGCAAATCGGAGTTGGAGTGGTTAGAGTACTTTTAACACCGGCAAGAGGACTTTATTTTCTTTTTCCTTTTTCTTTTCTTGATTTTTCGAGACAGGGTTTCACTGTGTGGCCCTGGCTGGCCTGAAACTCTCTCTGTAGAGCAGGCTGGCTTGGAACTCACAGAGAGATGCCTGCCTCTGCCTCCTGAGTGCTGGGATCAAAGGTGTGCACCACCACCACCCGGCATGAAGGACGTTTTATCTGCTTTCCCTTACAGTTAGTCAAGGAATTGGTTATCTATGGTAGTAGATGATGTTTGTAGGAGGATCTATGAGTTCTATGTTATTCAGGGATCTTTGTAAATTATGAAACCATGGAAACATAGGGTATAGTTAAAAAAAAGGTGCCCAACAGTACATGAGCAGTGGAGAGCTAATGTCAAGAGCTATGGATTTAAGGCACATTGGGCTTGAGGTCATTCTTGGGCACCTGCCTAGCTAGCACCTAAGACTCAGGGTCCCATCCATAGCACTGCTCCTCCTCCCAGTTCAGAGGTTTGCCCAGGACCCTTGTAGTATTCAGATTCTCTCCATATTTAGCTAATGCTGAATGCAATGTGGAGTCAGAACTAGATTGATAATAGATAGTTTATTAAGAAAGTACTCATGCAGCGGAACCAGTGACCAGGTTTACACAGGATGCCTGCTTGTCCGCTCAGCTAGGTGGGAGAGGGAAAAAGAGGGCCGCTGCATGCCTCTCTGATATTTAAACCCTTGCCACGGCACTCTGACCACGCCCAAGCAGGCGTGGTCAGCGGCATCTGTGCCAGCCCCAAGCGGGCGTGGTCAGTGTTTCTCCCTGCTGCACAGTGTATTGTCATATTCTGTCACACCAATAATTGAGTCCTGTCACAGTCCTGTCATCTCAAAGGCTTGAAAGCCACCTCTGCAGTGTTCCTGGGTCTTCTTGGAATATTTTTACTGAGATGCTCCAGTCTTCCTTGAGTACCGAAGTTTCAGACTACAGTATCTTTGAATTTCTCCTTTCACTAAATCTGCTGAGTTATTTTCACACCCAGTTCCAACTGGATGCCCATAAGCAGCAATGCAGTTCTAGGTCTAACTGGATGTCTGTAAGTAGTGGCTCAGTGCTGGGGTTTTTTCCCTAGCAGACAGAAAACACACATGGTAGTAATTCGGTTCTTGATATAAGTTATCTAGTGTATTTATTGGGTTTTTAAAAATGCTATATACTTCAGAACAGCAGTGAGATTTCAGGATGGGACTTGACATTTTGGAAGAATCCCTACCGATATAGTGGCTTTCATGATTCATGTGTTTGGATTTAAGTGTATTGACTAAAGTTACTTTAAAAATAGATAAGTGCAAAGTTGCACTTTACCATCACAGTTAGTCATTAGTGCATTTGTATGTCTGGGATGTATTTTTGATTATATAATACTGAAATATTAATATTTATATGATACTAAATTATTTTTTATTGGCTACCATAATCTTTTTTACAGTCTGTCAGCATATGAATTTAAGTGAGGACTTACCTTACTGTCTTTTGTCTTTTAAACATGATGAAACAGTCAGCTCTAGAGCAGTTTCATTAGTATATGTGAGTAACGGTGGTGTAGGTATCTGAAGGCTGGGTAAGGGGCTAAGAAAGCTTCTAAAACTGGGCTTGGTATTCCTCCATGAACTTGCAGCTCTCTCTAATGCATGTCTTCCTGTCTTCCTTGTAAACAAAATGCTTATTTCTTGACTCCATAGAATGAGCTTTAAAAAAACCTGAACTGGCTTCACTTAACAGTTTAAAAGAACAGACAAACAAACACATCCTAATTTTAACGGAAAGAAAATCGATTTCATAGCAATTCCTGCAAAACCACAAGGTCTTCTCTGCTCACACCTAATGACTAACCTATCTAAACCATTACTGGGTGATTGTAATCTCTGTCTCCTCTCCTTTCTCTTCCTGCATCCTTGTTGTCTGTGATGGTTTGTGTGGTTGGACTCTCCCCTGGTCAGTATTTTTATTTCCAGGAGGTATTTCCCACCCTGGCTGCAAAGCAGTGTATCATGCAAGCCAATGCTGAGTACCACCAGTCTATCCTGGCCAAGCAGCAGAAGAAGTTTGGGGAAGAGATCGCAAGGTTGCAGGTGAGTCTCTTGCTGATAAGTGCTTAGGTGACATCCTTCTCCTGTTCCTGCCTAGTGAAACCCAGTGTGCTCATAACCACTTCCCTGTTTGTTGCCTTTATCAGCAGAGGCAAGTGATGGTTTTCATCTGTAAACTTTACCTATAAGCATATTAAATTATGTACATTGCCTTGTTCAGGTTTCTGCTCATGTGAATGACAATGGAGGGTGTGTGTATCTCTGGTGGCTGATGTTTGTGGGTTCAAGACCCTCGTTGTAGGGCCCCATAAAGGCATTCAATGCTTCTTAGTTACTGTTAATAGTTGTGTAGCTTGTGGAAACCACACCGGACCCTCACTAATGTCAGGCAGGCTATGCTGATTGACCCCAGCTATCTTTCACTGCCTTGGCAGCTCACTCATGTGTTTACTGGGATGTCTGCCCTTCCCTTTTATTATTAGATGTTTAATCATGGAATTTCCAGGTTATCCTGCCAAGCACAGCGCTGCAGATCCTGAGGTTTAAAAATGCTTGGTAGAGAAAGCATTCATCTCCAAACAAACAAACACTGTTAATATAAATGCTTATTTTTAGCACGCAGCAGAACTGATTAAGAATGTGGCCTCTCGCTATGATGAGTATGTCAATGTGAAGGATTTTTCTGACAAGATCAGCCGTGCCCTTACTGCAGCAAAGAAGGATAACGATTTCATTTATCACGACCGCGTCCCAGACCTTAAAGATCTGGATCCTATCGGCAAAGCCACCCTTGTGAAACCCACCCCAGTCAATGTACCCATCAGCCAGAAGTTCTCAGGTAGGTCTGGTCTCTGGAGGTGCTTCAGTCAATTTGTGTTTCCTCCAGGTTCCCCTCCTCCCTGCCCCCTTTCTTGTTTTTCCTCCCTCACCGACCCTGGAAACTTCATTTTCCATTTTCCATAAAGAAAATGGTGCTTCGGCGAAGCCTTCTCTTTCCTCCAGGCTGATCTGTGTTATATGTAAAATCTCACATATTTTCTCTAATACTTTGACTATAACCTGCATTTATGTTGTTTAAAAGAAACGTGGGGATAGACATGGCCACACCTGAAGTCCCAGCACACATGAGGCTGAGACAGGAGGAATCTGAGTTTGAGGTCAGCTTGGTCTACATAGTGAGTTCTAGGCCTAGCTTGGCTATAGAATGAGTGAGACAAGCAAACAAGAGACAGCTAAGGACAAGAAAGTGCAAGAAAGTTAAGTGATGTGTCTTCTGTGGAATTTTCACAGGGAAAGTAAGCAACGAAGCATCTGCGAAGCATAAACCATGGGGTATCTGAAGCAAGGTTTTGATAAGATTAGGACTTTGGGCAAGCCTTGCCAATTTGCTGATGGAACATGTGTTATATTTAAGATGCTACCACTGAATATAAATATATGGTTATTTATTTACTTACTTATTTGAGAGAGAGAGGTCTCATTTAGCCAGGCTGGCCATTAAATCACTGTGTAACCTAGGTTGGCTTTGAACTCCTAATTCTCCTGTTTTAGCCTCCTAAGGCCATAAATTATAGGCATGAGCCACCATACTTGGATAAATAATTTTTAAACCAGTTTATTTCTAATGTGGTATTTGCATTAGGTCAATGTTATAGCCTTCCTTTGATATTGTGGCTCTATGTTATATGTGCAGCATTTGATGGCTTCCAGCAGATCTCCTGCAAAATATTTAAGCTCCTGGGAAAGAGTGATTATTTAGCTTGCTTTTATTTAATAAACAGAAAGTGTTAACTATGTGCCAGTGACTGTTAAGCATTGACAAATGGCACTCAGTTTGTCTCTCACAGCAGCTCAGGGCACAGGAACTATTGATGTCTTTGCTACTGATGACGATGCTGAGTCTGTTCCCACAGGTTCCATAACGAGGAAGTGATGGATTGTGATCACACATTGTGTCTAATCAGCAAGTGAGCAGTGTCACTAAGGTCCCTCATACATGATGACTTAGAGACTTAGGGGAATTGAAGATCTTGTCTGTCAGTGTAGTGATCTAGAGTTCTGTACACCACTGGCTTTCAGTATGCTGTAGTTTCTGATCTTGTAACATTATAGAGAAAACAAGCAGTCATGTCTGAGGTTTGAGTCTGTCCATATATCTTACTTGGACCTTCTCTTCTGTTTTAGATTTGTTTGAGAAGATGGTCCCTGTGTCTGTGCAGCAGTCCCTGGCTGTGTTTGGTCAGAGGAAAGCTGACTTGGTTAACAGATCAATCGCTCAAATGAGAGAAGCCACTACTTTGGCAAATGGGTAGGTGGAACCTGGCCTTCAGAAGCTGACTTACAGGTCCTTAAGTTTGCCGTTGACTTGTGCTTTAATAATTTATGAACACTTTCAGGCTTCTGAGCTTGGAAATGAATATCAAGCAGACATAGATACTCCAACACTTGTTCTTTTGGTTACTTTCTTAAGAAGCTTTAGGTAAACTTGAGTTGGAAGGAATGGGATTACAGAAAAAAGGTAAGACTATTTGAGTACTATTTTGTATGTCAAGAGATTGATTTGAGGTAAAATGAGTGGAGATGAGCCCTTTAAGATGCATGGTTCCAGGCTGATGAGATGGCTCAGCAGGTAAAAGTGCTTGCTGCCAAGGCCTGTGACCCAGGCTCTGTTCCTGGGACCCACATGGTGGGAGGAAACTCCTGCAAGTTGTCCTCGGACCTTACACACCTGCCCCAAAATAAATACATATAGTAAAAAGACTCCTTAAACCACTAGTACTGTAAACTAGTTTTCATATTAGATTAAGAAATACTGCATGGGTTAAAAAATTAGGTATAATTTACACATAATGAAAATTATCGATAAACTCATTTAAATTGTAGTTCATTCAGTTTGGTAAATGCATATACCCATGTAAATTCAATAAGAACATTCACATCAAGTTTTTCTTTTCTTTTCTTTTTTTTTTTTTTTTGGTTTTTCAAGACAAGGTTTCTCTGTAGTTCTAGATATTCTGGAACTCAGTTTTTGTAGACCAGGCTGATATCAAACTCACAGAGCCACCTGCCTCTGTCTCCTGAGTGCTGGGATTAAAGATGTACGCCACCACCCAGCAAGTCTTTATTCTTAATCATCTTTTTAAAAAGATGTTATTTTAATACAAATATATTATAACTAATATATTTTATGTGTCTGAGGATTGTGCGTGCATGTGACTGTGTCCTGTGTGTGTGCAGTGCTGGTGGAGGACAGAAGAGGGTATCGGGTGCCCTGGAACTGACTTTATGGATACTATGAGCTTCTATGTGAATGTAATGGCAGCTGGGTCCTCCACGAGTCCAACAGTGTTCTTGACAGCTGAGCCATCTCCTAACCATCCTTGTCTTTAACGAATTCTTCATGTATTTTGGCTGCAAGTCCTTTGTCAGATATTTGTGATAGTTTTTTTTTTTTTTCCAATTTTGTCTTTTCATGTGTTAATTTAAGTGATTACATGAATTTTGCCTACTTTTGTTGTTGAAACATTTATATTAGTTACCTCTCTCCCTCCCTCCTTTTTTTTCTCCCTTCCTCCCTTCTTTCTTCTCCCTCTCTACACCCCCCTCCTCCCTGAGCGCGCGCACACACACACATACATACATGACCTCGTGTATCCCGGTCTAGCCTCAGACTTCATCTGTAGCTGAGGATAATCTTGAAGTCCTGATCCTCTTGCCTCTGTTTCTTATGTTCTTTTATTTATTTGCCCCCCCCTTTTGGCATTGTGAATAGTAAATAGGTGTAAATTCCTCTGCCTTATCATGTAAATGAAAAGTGACCGAAGAGCTGTTATTGTACCATAAAACCCCAAGTTTGGGAGAGTCTGTAATTGATACTTTGATCTTCTGTGTTATTTGATCTTTTGTATAGATACAAAATTACAATAGGGCATGCACTACTATGCCCAGCAATTTTCTTGCTTTTTGTCTTTTAATTCTGAACTCTGAACTTAAGTATCTCAGTTCTTTTTAAATTTTACAATTTTTTCAAAATTTTATACTGGTATATAATGAATCTTTGTAGTACCCATCCCCCATTCCCTTTCTTCAGCTCCCCTAACTCAGCCTGCATATCTCCTCTTTCCCTCCCAACATCTGTTTCTTAATTATTTTAATGGTGTTAATCATTGATTTTTCCCTCCCTCTTGTTTTTAATAGGGATCATCCTTGTGGAGTGCTAACTCCATTGTTGATTTGGGTGGGTAAAAGTGACTGCTATTTAAAGAAGGTGGTGTAGACGTACATATGACACAGTGTCTCCTGTTTTGCAGGGTATTGGCTTCCCTCAACCTTCCAGCAGCCATTGAAGATGTGTCTGGAGACACTGTGCCTCAGTCTATCCTAACCAAGTCCACTTCTGTAGTTGAACAGGGTGGCATCCAGACTGTTGACCAGCTGATAAAGGAGCTACCCGAGTTACTACAAAGAAATAGAGAAATCTTAGAAGAGGTGTGTTTGAAAAGATTGGCCTTTCAAGTTGAAACTGCCATCTTGGTGTCGTGGGCTTCAAGGGGTAGCACTCAGTGTCTGGTCTGGGTGAGGTCACTGTGCTTTACTTGCCTTTAGCCTCAGGAAGAATTCCATTGAGTGAGAATGAGTCTTGTTTTCTTTTTTGGTTTTGTAGGGCTAGCTATCCTGGAACTTGCTCTGGAGACCAGACTGGCCTCAAACTCAGAGAACTGCCTGCCTCTGCCTCCTTAGTGCTGGGATTAAAGGTGCCCCATAAAGAATGAGTCATTCTTGGACGAAAGCAAATGCATGTTAGCTGAATTGATACGATCATTGACTGTTGCATATTAATAAACTATGGGAATCAAACTGTTCACTTATAACACTTCATAATTAGTAATTTCTTTAGTGTATAGACATCAGGTTCTGTTGTCTATATCTAAAAATTAGATACCATATTTTTGTTTTTGTTGTTGCTGTTTTTGAGACTTCAGTCTTATATATTCCAGGTTGGCCTTGAACTCCCTATGTAGCCAAGGATGACCTTGAACTTCTGACACTGTCTCAAAAAAACAAACAGTAAAGCTTCTCAGACCCCATAAGCAACAATAAAAATGTTTGAGGTTTTTTTTTTATACTAGAATGATATTTCAAGGATTTTTGCTTCCTTTTTTTTAAGTCTTTGAGACTTCTGGATGAAGAAGAAGCAACTGACAATGACTTAAGATCAAAATTCAAGGAACGATGGCAAAGGACTGCATCCAATGACCTCTACAAGCCTTTACGAGCAGGTAACCATGGCACAGATGACTGAATGCAAGTAAATTCCCACTTTATCCGGATTTGTTTTTAAATTAGACTCAGTTGTAAACTAATTTTTAGTGAACTTTGTATGACTAATGAAAACACAGGTATTTCCCTTGGTTAACAAAGACAAAGACAAAACGGTAATGAAACTCATCTAGGTTCACTGTGACAAGTGGGAGTTAAGCTGGTTTTGTGAGTCTCAAGCTTTTCCAGTGTTACAAAAACACACATGAAGTGATATGTATGGTCTGGTCATTCCTTTTTTGACTTAGTAGAGAGTCCTAGGTGGGTAACAAATGAACCTTAACAGCTACTTTGAAATAGATTATGCTTTATAAGAAGTCAATTATTAAGAGTTGTGTTTACAGTAAATAGTATCTTCATTGTAGCTGGAAATGTTGTCTTTGTCAGTTTTCAGATGGATCTTCTTTTCTTTGCAGTGAGGTTACCCTGAGAGAGTAGTACTTTTTCATGGCTTTTAATGTCTGATGTGAGTGACTCCTGTCTGTATTCATGAGTTGTAGAAAGAAGCTAGACAAATGTCAGTCTTCTTTCACTTGGTAAATGTTAGCCAAGTGACAACAATTACTGTGCCCCAGCTCCATAAGTAATTTTGTAGAAGATGAGGTTTATTGTCTAGTGAACTAGGGCCCACAGAGGGGGAAGGGGGATCAAGCTGGGGGCCAGGGCTTTAAAATACAGTCAACCCCATCAGCCTGAGTTCTGGAAACTCTTTCCTCAGAGGGATCCAAATTCAGAGCAGTTTTAGATAAAGCTGTGCAAGCAGACGGAAATGTGAAAGAGCGCTACCAGTCCCATCGAGACACCATCGCACTTCTGTGTAAGCCGGAACCTGAGCTGAATGCGGCCATCCCCTCTGCAAACCCAGCAAAGACCATGCAGGGCAGCGAGGTGAGGAGAAGGAGGACTTGCTCTGGGTGGGCCTGTGTTTATGGAACTGGTTCAAGCTGCAGGGTCTTCCTGTTACCTTCTAAACAATGAAGAATGGGGCTTGAGGTGTAGCCTCATCTTGGAGCACTTGCTTAGCCTGCAGCAGACTTTGGGTTTGATTCCAAGTACCACACAATCATGCATACACACACAGAGACAAATAAACACTTGCAGAAGTGAATTAGGGTTGTTATGTCTAAACTAGTATTATATACATTGTGTGATGCAGAATTATTAACATCCTGCTATTTTCATTTGTTATTCCTTTTGTGAGTTGGGTGCTAAAGTTCTAGGTATTTCATATGGTATCAGTGTTCAGTTTTTATAAAAGAGGGAATCTTGGAAAGAATAGAAACTTCCCTTGAAGTACAAAATATGGGTAAGCCTTATAACTACAGTTTCTTTTTTTCTTATGATTTTCTGTCATATTCCAGTTGGGTCTGGTTTGAAGGGAAAATTGGCCAAGGTATGCAAATTAGTAAATGGGCAACATCATGATGATATTTATTTTATTTGTGGGTTTTTTTGTTTGTTTGTTTTCAGAGACAGGGTTTCTCTGTTTTGTTTTGGAGCCTGTCCTGGAAGTCACTCTATAGACCAGGCTGGCCTCAAACTCACAGAGATCCGCCTGCCTCTGCCTCCCGAGTGCTGGGACTAAAGGCGTGCGCCCCCAACACCCGGCAGTATGTTTTTTTTTTTTTTAATTATTTTCATTGATGTGCAATGGTGTTTTGCCTGTATGTATATCTATGAAGGTGCCAGATTCCCTGGAATTGGAACTGCCATGTGGGTGCTGGGAATTAAATCAGGTCCTCTGAAAGATTAGCCAGGGCTCTTAACCGCAGAGCCGTCTCTGCAGCCCCCATGATGCTATTTCTAATGACGGCAGTAAAGAGAAACCCACAGAGCCTCTGATTAGGGAAGTCCTAAAGAGGAGAGAAAGTGCAGGTGTAATCTAGTGGTGGCCACTGTAAGGTAGAGTGATGTAGCAGGATAAGATAGATGTTCTTTGGTGTGCAGGAAATAAGCCTGGCCAGGAAACAAACACTATTGAAAAGGATGCGTTTCCTGGGGTGGTAAATTTCTAAAGTAGTTGATACTGTTCTTCTCTTTATATAGAAGAAGTTTACATATTCTAGCAAGACTTACAGTATGAGATATTATATTGAGTACTTTGAAAAATTAGCAAATGAATCATAGAGATAATTGAGATAAGTAAATGGCCGGCCCTCATTTGTCTTAATTTGTGGTCCAGGGTGGACACTAGTCACGTACAAAGATGACAATGATAGGGTAGAAGTTTATAAACTCAGTAGGAAAAGCATAAGGAGTTTTTGGGCTGTAGACGGGTGGATTCTTACATTTTAGTAGTGTGGGGTGCCTGGTTTGGGCACTCTTCTTGGGAAGTCAGCATATCTGTGAAAACAGAGGCAGAGAAAGTGGACCAAGTTAGCTAAGTGTCTTAAACGCGGTAGAAGAGCAGACCATGCTCCAGAGCAGGGAAGGGCTGCAGAGCCGAATGTCTGAGGGGCTCAGGTCTACAGGACTGACTGACCAGGAATTTCCACTAACTGTTTGAAGACCAAGGGATCTCAACAAGAGCATAGCTCCAGGGAATAGCAACAAAATCCCATAGGCCTACCCTGTGGTGCTGAGTTAAACCTAGGGCCTGCTGCACATTATACAGGCATTCTGCAATTGAGTTGTGTCCCCAGATTACCCCCAGTCCCCCTTTTTTGAGGCAAGGTCTTGCTGCATTGCCTATTTAACTTGTAGCCAGCCTGTGTCAGTGTCCTGGCAAAGCACGGGGTTGACTCTGGGCTTGTGCATGCTGGGCAAGTGTGCTGGGGGAGCATGCTGGGTAAGCGTGCCATTGCAGGGCTTCATCCCCAGCCTTTGCATTGGTTTTCTTTTCCTTTTTCTCTTTCTGATTTCAGAGAAAGATATTATGTGACTTATTCTTTCTGGTGTCTTTTTTTTTTTTCTTCCCATGCTGGGGATTGAAACCAAAGCTTTTATGTTCCATAACCCCAGCCCCATTGGTGCTGTGTTGATAAAATTATACAGCTGTTGTCTTTTGATTTCTCTTTCAATGGAAAAGCAGAAATGGTTTGTGTTAAGCAAATATCAGAATTAGTAAGCCTTTACTTGTTGCCATTTTATTAATTTATATTAATAAAAATATATTCAAACTTTTTATTAATTTTTAATACCATCACACATGGGGATAAAGTCTTTTATAATCAACACTAAGTTACTGTTTTGAAGTTGGATTTCCTGATAGAGGTGGCCAGAAAATGTTCGGCACTGTATTTATGTATCATGAGCCTCTGTGACAAGTGTGACATGTTATAAAGCTGTTTCAAATTGTTGTCATAAAAGTTGATGATAGTTTTACCCAGGGCGTTTGATAAAACAGCCATTTGAAAGCCAGGCATGGTGGTGCTTGCCTAGGCAGAGGCAGGTGTGTATCTGTGAGTTCCAGGCCAACCTGGTCTATATAGTGAGGTCTAGCCCAGCCAGGCTGTTTGATGAGACTGTGTCTTAAATATGTGTTTCTTGTTTTTTTTTCTTTGACTCGTTCTCATTTGTTTGTTTTGTCCTATTCCAATTTGTTTCTGTTTTATCTTATTATTGATTCTTAGATGCCTGTGTTCTAAGGAGAGACAGAAAGGGGGTGAATCTGGATGGATGGGGAGGTGTGAGGAACCGGGATAGCTGGGGGAGGTGTGATCAGAATGTATGCATATATGAAAAAAATTGATTTTTTTAAGTCTTAGAAATATTTATTGGACACTTCTTTTTTGGTTTTGAGAATTTCAGACATGAGTACAATGCTTTTTGATCATATCCACAACTGTCTACACTCCAGTCCTTCGAGTGTCCACTCCTCAAATCTTCCTCTTAAATTAATGTTCTCTTCTATAATTACTATCACTGAATATATGTGAACATATATGATCTAATTAATGTTTTCTATGTACTACATGTAAGACTGAAAATGTGGAACAGATACACAATAGAATTATTTTTTCCTATTACTGAAAATATTCTTTTCTCATACAATATATCTTGATTATAGTTTCCCTTCTCTCTATTCCTCCAAGTTTCTCCCAAGAACCCTCCTATCCAGATCCACCCCCATTCTGTCTCTCAATAGAAAATAAACAGAGCCAAACAGCGATGGTGCACTTGTTTAATCTCAGCACTTGAGAGGCAGAAGCAGGTGAATCTCTGTGAGTTCAAGGCCAGCCTGGTCTACAGACTCCAAAGCTACACAGAAACCCTGTTTCTAAAAACCAAAGGAAAAAATAGAAAATAAACAGACATCTAAGGTATAATTATAAAACAAATGTAATATAATAAGATAAAACAAAAGTGAACAAATCAGAATAGAATAGACGAAAGAGAATCCAAGAAAAGTCGCAAGAAACATATATAGAGTCAGAGAACCACTTGTTCACACAATCAGAAATCCTTTAAAAACACAAAACTGAAAGCTGTAATATATGCAAAGGACCTATAGGATAAAAATAAAAAAGAAAATTTAAATTAAATTTTAAAAAGAGAAAGTGAAAGAAAGCAAGCCCTGAAAAAACACTATGAGACAAAGAATCTCCAAAGTTGTTATTGGGTTTATTTAAAAAAATGTTTGAGATAGTCAACTTAGCTGAAAAACTCCCTTCCCCTCCCCTCCCCTCCCCTCCCCTTCTGTCTCTCATCAGAAGGGAACAGTTTTCTAAGAGATAACAAGCATGATGAAATAAAGTATGATAAGATGAAGCAAAAGCTGTCCTATTGAAGTTGGCCATAGAGCCCAACAGGAGGAAGAGTCTCAAGCGCAGACACAGGAGTCACAGACCCCCTCATTCTCACAGTCAGGAGTCCCATAGAGACCCTGAGCTGCCGGCTCTAATATACACACAGAGGACCTGTTGAAGGTCAGTGCAGGCCCTGTGCTCGCTGCTGCAGTCCCATCTCTCTGTGCTCGGACGCACCTTGCTCAGTTGATCCAGAGGGCCTTGTTCTCCTGGTGTTCTCCATCCCCTCTGGCTCTCTTTTTGTTTTTTTGAGACAGGGTTTCTCTGTGGCTTTGGATGCTGTCCTGGAACTCTCTCTTGTAGACCAGGCTGGCCTTGAACTCACAGAGACCCACCTGCCTCTGCCTCCCGAGTGCTGGGATTAAAGGCGTGCACCACCAATGCCTGGCTCCCCTCTGGCTCTTAACAATCTTTTCACCTCTTTGGAGGGATTCCCTGGAGCTCTCCAGTTTAGACTCTGTCCACATAATGTCTGGCTGTGGGTCTCTGCTCTGTTACCATCTACTGCCTGAGGAAGCCTCTCTGATGGTGACTGGATAAGACATTGATCTATGAGTATAGCAGAATATCATTAGGAATCATTTTATTGATTAAAAATATGTTTTCAATAAAAGAGAGGAAAAAAGCCAAACCAAACATGTAGCCATTTGAAATGATTATTGAATTGATAAAGTTGATGGAGATGTTTTTCTGTTATTGTAAAGAAGGCTATTACCTATTTCCCATCAATCTCTTTGGGCATCTAGTGTCATGTGTTGACAGTCTGAAAGGTGCTCAGACTGCTGGGAATATGTGTTTGCAGGTCCTTCTGCTGGATGTTGTTGTCTGAAGCTGTGTGTTCTTCTCTCCTGCTCTCTGTCCTCTTCTAAGACAATGTCTCATTAGCTCAGGCTGCCTTTGGATTTGCTGTGTAGCTAAGGATAACCTCCTGCCTCCACCTCTTAGTGGATTACTGGCTTGCTGACCACAATTGGGTCAATGGAGTCTCAGGGCCTTGTCCATGGTACTGAGCTACTTCTCCAACACGGGGATCTAAACCACACTCAGGCACTTTAAACATTGTAGGCATACCCTTTCCTCTTGTTTTTTGTTTTTAAGAATTATTTTTATTATATTTTATTTATATTAGGTGTATCTGTTTGCGTGTGGGTGTTTTAGTTAACTTTTCTTTTTGTTTTTAAAAGATTTATTTACTTATTATGTATACAGTATTCATGGGACAGAAGAGAACACCAGATCTCATTACAGATGGTTGTGAGCCACCATGTGGTGGTTGGGAATTGAACTCAGGACCTCTGGAAGAGTAGGCAGTGCTCTTAACCCCTGAGCCATCTCTCCAGCCCTGAGGAAAGGGTTTTTTTTCTTTGGCTTACACTTCCACATTGCTCTTCACCACTGAAGGAAGTCAGGATGGGAACTCAAACAGGGCAGAATCCTGGAAGCAGAAGCTGATATAGAAGCCATGGAGGGGTGCTGCTTACTGGCTTGCTCAGCCTGCTTTCTTCTAGAACCCAGGACCAGTAGCCCAGGGATGGCCCACAATGGACTGGGTCCTTCCCCATTGATTACTAATTTAGAAAATGCCTTACAGCTGGATCTCCTGGAGGCATTTCCTCAACTGAGGCTCCTTCCTCTCTGTTGACTGTAGCTTGTGTCAAGTTGACACACAAAACCAGCCAGTACAGCGGGTATCCGCACATAAGATGTTGAATCCCCTAGAGTTGGAGCCACAGACAGTTGTAAGCTGCCCCATGTGGATGCTGTGAATTGAACTCAAGTCCTATGGAAGAGTAACAAGTGCTCTTAATTTTTAAGTCACCTCTCTAGCTGTCTCTCTAGGTTTTTCAGTTAGCGGATGTTTATTAACAAGTACCAAGAAGGCTCATCACTGTATACCAGAGGTGTGTTGTGGGGATCCAAACTCAGGCCCTAATGTTTACCCATGAGCCATCTTCCCAGCCTTCCCAAAATACAGTGTTTTTCCAACATTTAAAGCTTACATGCCCTACTGCACCTGGCCCAGTAAAAGATATGACAATTAAAGAGGTACCTTAAATTCACTAAATAAATGAGAATGTAATCCCTGATCTATTTCACATGGTAGATCTTCTTCTTTTTTAAAATCTGTCTGAATGCTTAGATTTCTAAGCCTCTATGTACTTCAAAATGTACCCAAGGTTTACAGTTGTACCACAAAGCTCAGGTGCCAGGTAGCAATGGCTGTGTGTTGGGCTCTGCCTGTGCAGGAAATTATGTTGAAATTATGTTGAATTTCATATGGACACCTTGATCTTTACAGATGTCTTGAAATAGGTACTTTTTTCATTCTGCGAATGAGTCGATTTAGCTTTCCAGGAATTCACTTTCCCTGGTTATACAGTCACTAAGTCCATCATGCAGATTACTAGTATCCCAGTGTTAAAGTACTGTTTTCTTTCCTTCTTTTGAAACAGTGATTCTAGGGATTGAATCCAGGGCCTCGTGCATGTTAGGCAAGCCCAAAACCATGAACTGTATTCCCAGCCCTGAAATCTAAATCTTCCTTTCCTCCCCCCTCCCCCCCACCCTTTTGAGACAGGCGCTCTCTATGTAGACTTGGCTGGCCTGGAACTTTGTAGTTCAGGCTGGCCTTAAATTCAGTTCTCCTCCTGCCCAAGCCTCCCAGTGCTGGAACTAAGGCATGCAACACCAAACCTAGTTTGAAGTATTTTCTTCGCTGTAGCTGTTTCACTTTGATAGGTCCATCTGTTTCCAAAAGTTTCAAGTTTTGAATATTGAAAAAATGTTCAGTTCCCAAGAGGCAGTGCGGATGGAGGGAGTGCGATCCTCAGCTTGAGTTTTGTTACCAGGGATGCGCTACCACTGACCATGCCTGTGTTTGTTGTTTAGGTTGTAAATGTCTTAAAATCCTTATTATCAAGTCTTGATGAACTAAAGAAGGAAAGAGAGGGTCTTGAGAATGACCTGAAGTCAGTGAATTTTGACATGACAAGCAAGTTTTTGACAGCTCTGGCCCAGGATGGCGTGATAAATGAGGAGGCCCTTTCTGTCACTGAGCTGGATCGGATTTATGGTGGTCTAACAGCTAAAGTTCAAGAGTCTCTGAAGAAACAGGAGGAACTTCTAAAAAATATACAGGTAAATTTATGTGTTTAATAGGAGGTGTGTTCCAGACCTATGAAGAATTCACAGAGAGTATGGTATATCTTCATAGTTTGGAGAAATAAAGGATCTTTACAGCCAGGTTGGCGTGTGACATAGGTGGATCTCAAAGCTTGCCTGCCATCCTTGTGGGTCACCTTTGAGAGTGCTGGGGTTAAGATTAAGAGCAGCACAGTTGTATTCAACTGGTATGTGTGAGGTTCTAGGTTCAGTTCCAGTAACAGGAGCAAAGTTACCTCTCTGGATAGGGTGCTACACGCTGCTTAGAAAGCCTTCAGACACATTTTTTTTCCAAACCATTTTTAGTGTTTCTTTTTTTTGTTTGTTTTTCGAGACAGGGTTTCCTTGTGTAGCTTTGGAGCCTGTCCTGGCACTCGCTCTGGAGACCAGGCTGGCCTTGAACTCACAGAGATCCGCCTGCCTCTGCCTCCCGAGTGCTGGGATTAAAGGTGTGCGCCACCAACGCCTGGCTCTAGTGTTTCCTTTTTATTTTTCTTGCCACATGTAGGGAAGAATCAAAATTAGTGGGAACCACTAATGCCTGTAGAATAGTCTGGCTAATATATAATAGACTTTAGTTATGTCTAAGACTTTATCAGTGAATGTGCAGAATTCTGTAGTGGTAAAGGTATTCAAAATCATCAGTTCCTATCCAGGTACTTTTTATGTTATAGAATGATAGAGATTGGTAACCATTATTGATTATATGTTGCTATCATTGAATTTGTGATATTTTCACTTAAGGAAAAAAGTCAAAACAGTATACTGACAGGAACAAATTCCAGGTATTTTTTGTAATTTTGCATGTCAGCAATCATGACTTCCTAATTGGAAAAGATATCAATACATTTTTTGTTGTTTTATTTTTGTTCTTTGAGGTGTTCTTACTATGTAGCCCTGGCAGGCTTAATGTTTTTAGACATACAATTGTTTCTGCCTCCCCAATCTTGGGATTAAAGGTGTGTACCACTACATCTGACCACGGCACAAATATTTTGATTGGCTATCAAATGACTTAGGGGATAACAGAATTGATGACCTGAGTTCAATCCCTGGGGCCTATGTGGTGGAAGAAGAGAAAGTTGTCTTCTGACCTTCTGATATGTACTGACCCACATGCACACCCACACACGTACACATGTATGCAATACAGAATAAACAAGAAAATTTAAAATCATTTTAAGCTGAATTGAATTTATAAGTAAATATACACTTTGTGTCTTTTACCAAGGTCTCACACCAAGAATTTTCTAAAATGAAGCAGTCTAACAATGAAGCTAACCTAAGAGAAGAAGTTCTGAAGAACTTGGCAACTGCATATGACAACTTTGTTGAACTTGTAGCTAACTTGAAGGAGGGCACAAAGGTATGCATGCACACAAGACAGGCTGGAGCTAACTAGCCCAGACCCAACAGGCCAGCTGGGATGCTAGTGACTGTGCATTTGATTTGCTGTTGTACTGATGTCTTTTGCTTCTGTCGGGCTTCAGAGCGAGGATGCTCAGCAGAGGCAGCAGCATTTTGGTGGAACTTTGAGGAATAAACTGTAGAGAAGGACTTAAGTGCTGCAGGGAGCAGGAATTAGAGCTATCAGAAGCCAGCGACGTCTTCATTACACAGCTGCTTGTGGCTGATTTTTGGTGGAAGGGGACACATGGCTTTGATCTCTTGTGCTGGTGGTGTGATGGGGACAGACATGTGACCTGCCCGAGTGTCAAAAGTAGTTTTCAGATATGTTCTAAGTACATTCCTTGCTTTGTTCGTTAAAGGGTCTAGAGAAATGCTTTTATTGTAATATGTATTTTATAAATATAATTTACCCCCTGACTGTTCTGTTTTGCTTTTGAGAGAAGTGACTTTTTTTTTTTTTTTTTTAGACAGGGTTTCTCTGTGGCTTTGGAGGTTGTCCTGGAACTTACTCTGTAGACCAGGCTGGTCTCAAACTCACAGAGATCCACCTGCCTCTGCCTCCCGAGTGCTGGGATTGATTAAAGGCGTGTGCCACCAACACCTGGCTGAGAGAAGTGATTTTTAAGTTTTCAGATACAAGTTTCCTTCTGGTTCTTAACTCCATGATGATTACTGAATAAGGTCACTTTGATGGGATGCAGTGTTTATTCCCAGTGGCCCTTTGAATAGACAGCACTGTAAAGCCTTGGTGTGAGGGGAAGGTTGAGGCCATTCCTTAGGACTCAGTGCTTTGTTCAAGTAGATGAGTGGAGGATTCTCCAGAGAGCCTTGGGTATTATCTTCAGTGACGTCTCATTTTCAGGGTTAGTGTACAGGTTTAACTCAGCATGACAGCAGATTTAGTTATACTTAATAGTTGGTTTTTGTATAGGGATTGGGAACATGTGCACAGTTATGATACTTGTAACTTACAGTCATTTAATATTTAGTGCCAGTATTCTGTGAACATGATCTCATTAGTTTTATTTTCCTTACCACCCCTAGGTCATATTTAGTCCTAAGTTACTCAGTTGGTAGTATGAATGTATCTCATGTAAATGCTTTCAGCTTTAGTCTCAGCAACACTGCTAAGTTATTATTGTTAGAATGTATTTTTCCCTAGATTAAAATTGCTTTTTAATTATTATTTGTATTTGCTCTTTGCTTATAGTTTTACAACGAGCTGACTGAAATCTTGGTCAGGTTCCAGAACAAATGCAGTGACATAGTGTTTGCACGGAAGACAGAGAGAGATGAGCTCTTGAAGTGAGTTTGTTTGTGTGTGGGATTGTACGTAAAGCTTCTTTCTTGTGTGTGGGATGAATTGGGTGGTGCTTTTGCAGGATTCCCCTTCCCTCTTTTGAATATTTCACAGAGTCATAGGCATCTTGATCCGGGATGAAAGAGTGAAGGAGCAGAAACCCAAGGTGTGGAAGCACAGAGGTGAAATAGCTCAGGAGTAGTAACCTGGGCAGATGGGTAGACACTTGAGAAATAGCACTGTCCCTTCTGCACGAGCCACTGAGAAAGCTGGGCCTGTAATAGAGGACCCACCCAGTGGGTCATTTGGAGGAAGTTGACCCATGTTCACACAAAGGTGCTGTGTCTAGGTTGTGAGCAAGGGAACAGAATGTAGCAGCCTTTGACTAACACCTTAAGGAAGGGGAGATAGCCTTCCCCTGGCACCAGACTTTTATTTGGTAACCTGTGACTTCTGTGAGAACACTATCCCCTATGTAGGGTAACCCCAATCAACCCCTCACACATACAGAAACACACATATATGCACCCATGTGTGAATATACATGTACATATGTCTACATATATTTAGGAAGCTTATAAACTTGTATGTTCTGAATGGCTCTTTTGAATACCCCTAGTGTTTAGCTACCCCCCCCATTCCTTGTCCTCCCCACTTACACTTCCCTGCATATTCCCTCCTCTTTCATGTCACCTGTGCTCTATTAACCCTACCTCCCTTAAGATCTTTCTCTCTCTCCCCCCAGTGGCCCCTTTCTAGTCTCCCAGCTTGTACAGGTACTCCAGGTAAACACACAAGTCTAAAGTGAGTGAGAACATTGCATATTGGTCTTTCTGGATCTGGGTTGACTTCAATTAGTGTAATTTTATTCAGTTACGTCCAATTGCCTGCAAATTTCATAATTTCACAGTTAATTGAAATCTTTTAATCAAAGGCAGAGCATTTGAAATAATTGAATGCTTTCACCTGTACTTCATTTTCTTTTCACAAGTGATTTAAAACACTGGTGTCAGTGGTAGTGGTTGGTGGGCACAGCAATTGTGGCATTTTACCTTTGCTGTTTTACATTATTGAGCTGTGACTTAATAGCTTTGATTTATATCATTAACTGTGTAGGAAATTCTCAGTTGCCCATGAATATGTTAATTATTAGAGTTTATTAAAGGAAAAGTCTTACATTAAGGCTTTATAGTATATGTATATATTTTAGATCTTCCAAAGTCTGACACTTAGAGTATTAATAGCGACTAGAATGTCCCCATTTGTAAGCAGTATTTACTTACATTAAGTACTTAACATCTTTTTGTTTTAATGAAGATAGTATGTCTGTCTTCTGTCTGGGGCCTTTGTGGCATATGAGGGGTGGCTGTGTGATAAGGGTGATGGTGACTTTGTGACCATTGGTCCTGGTGTAGATATGACCGAGCCCTGAGTGACTGATGGCCATCATGTGTCACTGGAGTGTGTGGACCTTAAGGTTTAATGAGATTTTTGAAGTTAATTTTAATTTACTATTTGAAGAGACTTTATGTCTGTCTCTTAACATGTCTATGTTTTGATGTCTTTTCAATAATGTATTTTTTGTCAGTTTATGCTAGTGACAGATTACTTTAATGATACATTATTACATTAGCTTTTAACATAAAATAGACCAGTGCCACGTGTCTTTTACAGGTTAAAAATTGTTCCAGAAATTTACTTAATTATTTGCATACTTAGCTTATCTTTATTTTGTCCTCTTGTTTGTTTGTTTGAGAGAGGCTTTTGCTACACAGCTAGGGCTGGCCCCAAACTTGTGATCTTCTGCCTCTACCTTCCTGGTGCTGGGATTTATTTTGTGTGATACTGATGTCATACTTGGAATGAAACATTAGCCCAGCATCTGAGTGGGTTGTAATTCTTTGACAACTGTGCTACTATGTTACAATAAATCTTTCTGCCATAAGCCTCCAAGCAAGCGCTCTATGCCAGCCTCCCACCTGAGTCAGGGCCTCAATTAATGCACAGAGAGACTTGCATTAGGTACAATGCTGCTTGGCCAGTGACTAGGATTGTCATCTGTTAGCTCAGTCTCAATTATCATAAATCTATATATTTTATAAGACTTATCGGACGCCTTATTGGCGTCCCTCCTTGCTGGTGGATCACATCGCGCCGCTGGAGGAAGAGCGGAGGGGAAAAGGGGACACTTCCTGTTTCTCCTTGCTAAAATATGAGTCTCGTTGCTGTGTCACTTCCTGCCTGGATCACCACTTCTCTACTACATTTCCCAGAATCCTGTTTGACTCCTAGTCCTGTCTAACTTGCTGTTTCATTGGCCAAACAGAACTTTATTCAACAATCAATAAGATAAACATATACAGAAGTACTTCCCATCACGACTAGTTTTTTGATTTGTAGTTAACTCCTATTAGATAAGAAGCAATCTTCTAAGGCTGCTTTCCTAGTTAAAACATCCTTATTTGAGTTGTGTAGATGGAGTTTCTGTTCCACCCTGTTCTGCTGCCCTTCAGTCCCAAATAAACTCAGAGGCTTATTTTAATTATAAACTGTTTGGCCAATGGCTCCTAAAGCTTCTTAATGGCTAACTCTTTCTTAATTATTAACCCAGTTCTATAAGTCTATGTATGTCCATGTAGTCTTGGCTTACTGGAGAATGCCTGGCATCCTGTCTTTACATGGTGTCTCTCTGTTGACTTCTCCCTGTATTCTCTCCCTAGAATTCTCCTCATCTGGTAGTCCTGCCTATACTGTCTGCCTGGCTACTGGCCAATCAGTGTTTTTATTCATGAACCAATAAGAGAAACATATATTAACAACATACAGAAGGACATCACCATCAGAATTGTAACTAAGATAATGAAAAAAAAAACCCTATTCTTTGCTGGTTTTTAGAAGTAGAGTCACACTACAACTTTGTTTAGTTGCAGGATTAAACATGTACTTTCTATGTAGGAATAGGAACATGTTTTAGAATACTGTCATCATTTGGAGGCAGTTTTGCTTAGTATGTGAAGAAAAACAAAAGGAATAATATCTTAGAGGTGTTTTTCATGGTGCCAACCTTAACACTCTGTCTTTCACAAGGGATCTGCAGCAGAGCATTGCCAGAGAACCCAGCGCTCCTTCCATCCCTCCTCCAGCATATCAGGCCTCACCAGCAGGGGGGCATGCCACAGCTCCTCCAACTCCAGCTCCAAGAACCATGCCGGTGAGTGGTGAGCAGGCCAGGCGCCTGCTGCATTCCTTCAGTGGAGGAACTGGTGGTCCCCACCTGTGGTTAGGGACCCAACCTTCTGATAGCATCCAGGGCGTGACACAGCAGCACTCATGAATTTTCACCCCCAGAAGCATTCAGCCTGAGTGAAACAACATCTTTAGCATGGACTCCCCCAGTGAAGTCAGTGCATGAGATGCAGATTTTGAGACTCCTGTTTTCTAAAATACGTGGGAAGATGGGAGGGAGTTGTAGGTGAGAGTAAACAGTTCATTACAGACTCTCTGGCATAGGAACTTTGGTTTGAATTTGGTTCACAAAAGCAGCCACAGGAGACCTTTCTTCCAGGTGAGTAGGGAACTTGGATCTGGAGTAGATGATTGCCAGTCTTAGGGAGCAGCGTGATTGTTTTGGTGACATGCTGAGGGTGGATGTCTGCAGGGCTGGTGCTGTGACACTGGCAGCTTCAGATGGTTCTACAGACAAAGAAGACAGGGTAGTGTTAACAATTGCTGAGTTTTGTCACGATGTGTGCAATTTCGTGTTTCAAAAATTTTCACAAGCTTAAAGCTTTTGTAAAAAGAATTTGGGGCCTGTCAGTAGGTCCAGTAGTGAGTCTGAGTGTTGGTGGAGACCGCGTTAGCATCAGGAGGAGCAGGGGCTCTTCAGAGGTGGGAGAGCAGCTCCTGGCCACGTTCTAGACTAGTAAGCTAATGTTTAAGAGCGAGAGTTGAGGGGTGTGTGGTTGAATGGCCAGGACACCGTGCTCTCCTTTCTTTTAGGCAGCAGCATCTGAGAGTCACACCGCACATCCCGTATCATTGCTTCTTCTCTCTTGCAGCCTGCGAAGCCCCAGCCTCCAGCCCGGCCTCCACCTCCTGTGCTTCCTGCAAACCGAGTCACCCCTGCTGCTGCTGCTCCCACAGGGGCAGGGGTTGCTTCACCAGCACCAACACAGACCCCTGGCTCTGCTCCCCCTCCACAGGCTCAGGGACCACCGTATCCTACCTATCCAGGATATCCTGGGTAAGGCAGTGACACCCTGTGTCACCAAGAATCGACACATTTCTGGCTATGACTAACCTTTAAAGACAGAGGCTCATCTCTTCTCTGAATACAGGTCTCATAAATTAGCCATGTTGTCAACTTACCCAGAAATTAAAATTGTTATAATTGCTTATTTGAGTGGCCTAACAGCTGTTTCCTAGGTGTCTAGGGTATATATTTTTATGTTTTTGCATCTTTCATTTATATAAACACATCTTCTGTGTGAAATACAGTGCATGGCCCCAGGCTGACTTTCTTAAATGAAGCCAGGATCACAAGGCCTTGTCTTTGTGTCTGTACTCAGGAATCACAGTCTGGTAAACTGACAAATGGAAACTTAGACCGTTATGTGATGTGTTTGAAGACTAGCCTTCTTCATGGAGGTGTCCATTTACTTATTTGTTTGTCTATTTACTTATTTTTTTCTGTGGTGGGGGCTGAATGCAGGTCCTCTGAAGAGCAGCCAGTGCTGGTAACCAGTGAGCCCTCTCTCCAGCCCTGAACAGGAGCATGTTCAGAGAACTTCATTAAATGAGCAGTCTGTTTTTATTCTTCCTTTAGTAGTTGGATTCAACATTGTTATTTTCTGGGCAGTAGTAAAAGTCTGATCATCTTTGATTTAATTAATGACAGGGATGCTTTTCTCTGGAAACAGGTCTACTGTTTCACTCTTCTCTCTTCCTCTAGAAGAATGAAAAGCTCTTGTTGAAAACTGACCATTGTAGAGTAGTGGCATTCACTCTGTCGGACTTCATTCACTGACCCAGTGTTCTGTTTCCTTCTCACCATCAGGTATTGTCAGATGCCCATGCCCATGGGCTACAACCCCTACGCATATGGCCAGTACAACATGCCGTACACGCCAGTGTACCACCAGAGCCCAGGACAGGCTCCGTACCCGGGACCCCAGCAGCCTGCCTACCCCTTCCCTCAGCCCCCACAGCAGTCTTACTATCCACAGCAGTAATGCTGCCACAAGCTGGCAGGTTCCGACCAGAGGGACAGGACAGCAGCCGCCTCAGTGTTCTAAGCCATGTTCCGGTCACTCAAGCGGACTTTGCTCCACCAATTGCCGTGGGTAATGTCTGTCTGTGGCTAACAGCCGAAGCTGGGTCCCACCCCCACATTTGATCGCACTCGGGAGATTTCGCTGCTGTCGCAGTATAAACATTAGGTATAATAGCACTTGAAAAAAAATTACAGTTCATAAAACGTTGCAAATGAGAAATTAAACCTGCAAGTGAAATTAGCATACTTTATAAGATGCAGTTGGAACAAAGATGGTTTAAGTACTGATATTCAAGAAAAAGTTTTCTTTCTCTTTTGGTTTATTGATTTAGTTTAATTTCTATTATGATATTTTGCATAATCAAGGCATTGTAAATCTTATAATTTAAAAATAAATTACTTAAGAACAGTTGTCATTGTTATGTTTTGTCATTGATTCTCATTGCTGTCTTAAGTCCTTTCTGGTATTAGCCTCTGGTTTTGTATGCCCACAGGTTAAATGTGCTGTGTTGAAATGCATGAGCAGGGCCAGTCAGCAGTCAGGGCCAAGGTTGCAGTATGAAAATGTGGAGCTCAGCTCTGCAGTTCATCTGTCTTATGCTGAATAGTCAGCTAAGTTTCAAAAGCCCTTTAATGTGGGAGACACACAACTGTTACCAAAGATTCTTCAAATAAATATAAAATTTTAAAAGTGTACATTTAATGTTTCATTGTTAGATTTTCCAAGAAAGTGGTGCAGATTCTGGTTAAATAGGTAGCTGCCATTGACAGTATGGCCTGATGTGGTAGAGAGCTCTCTGTGCCTTTCTTTCTCGTCCCTGGTTCCACCTGTTCTTATCCTGTGATGTTTAATGCTGAGTGTCTTTGAACGGATCTCAACCCTTCCTTTTAAAATTTCTTCTTATTAAAAAAAATTTTTTTTTTGTGCCTCCTGAAAGCTGAGGTTGTTTTGTAATTGAGGGAGCAACTCAACAGGTCGGTTGCTGGGGACATGCGCTAAGTCTGGAGTGGGCTGCAGCCTCATGAGTGCTCTGACAATGCTTAGCTGCTGTGCAGGCCTCAATGACAATGAGGAGATGCATCCCGGACCGGAAGCCGTGCAGGCAGGATCTCAGGGTCTCGGTGGGCTCTGTCCGTGTGAGGCTTTCCAACACATTATGTGTGTGAGCAAACTCTAATCTGTATTTGTGTTCTGAGTTTAATGCTGATCTTTTCTTGCATTATCATCTCATTTAAATGATACTGTCACTTAGTTCACTGTTGGGTTCATTGACAATTTAGGCTGATATTTAAATGTAAGACTGAAGCTACAATTGTAAATGGGAGTAAATTGGTTTAAAGGAATGTGTGTTTTAAATCACCTTACTTTGTTGTATGCAGAAAACACAAAGATGTGCTGCTTCACCACAGATGACTATTACCTGGAATATCAACATTGGCTTAAAGTCCCATAGCTAAGCCTTGGCAAAACTCCCGGTGAAACATACCCTTGCTCAGCTTCAATGCTCTGGATTACTCAGTGTCTGAGGTGTTTTATGTGAGTTCTCTGTAAATGCATTTAATTTCTCTATTCTCCCCCACTTGAGTATCTTATACTGACAAAGACATTTCCTGAGTTAGGGAGTTCCCAGATTGCTAGTCTATACTCCTTACCAATGCAAAATAGCCACAAAAAAGAAAAAAGAAAAGAAAAGAAAAGAAAAAAAAGGCCTGAATATTCTCTTGGGGAATGGGGGTGGAAGTCTAAAGGAAAGGGTGAGCATATCAGAGAGCCAAAGGTCAGGTCAGCCGCCATTCCCTCACTGCACCGGCTATTCCTGCAGGGTCACAGAGGAAGGAAGAGCAGTGTGGGAGGGGAGACCCCAGGCTCTGGGGCAGCCCCTCTCGGTGGCCTCCTAGCTCAGCGCCTTAGGGAGGCCTCTTGTATGGCAACCCCCCTCTTGCCAGGTCTCATCCTCTAAGTTGCTGAGGATGTTCCACTGATATGCAGTGCTAGGTTTGCCTTCCTAAGCCTGTCTAGTTGGACAGGGGCCTATAGAAAGCCTCTTTCTGTGCCTACTGCCCTTAGAAAATGAGGTGGCGGCCCTCAGGGCTCTTCCGAGTGTGCTATAGAAGTTACTATGCATGATGCCGTTTACTTGGAGGTAGAGGGGTCCATTCTGGCTCGAGTATGTTATCCCATGTTTACAATTAGACTTTCTGTTACTTCCTACATTAAGGTACCCACTCTCGGGGCGTTTGTGTTGGCTTCCTAAGTCTGTTATGAAATGGGTTACCTGCCAGCTTCTGAGACTTTGCCGAGAAACCAGTGAGAAGCAGGGAAAAGCCATCCAACTGGGATTTCCCATCCTCAGATGGATGGCTTGACCACTGGGTGTGGTGTCAGTCTCGGAGCTAGAGAGCCATCGCTCTGCTCCGTGGTCGTCTTCTTAGTTGAGAAAAGCAGTCACATGTCACTCAATACACAGCAACCAGTCTCTCTGAGACACACTGGCACGCTTGCAATCATGTGGGTGTCACAGTTGTAGCCTAACCTCTGTCCCAGCCAGCTACCCTTTTAGTCAAAACAGATTTTTGTTTTTCCATTGAGCTTTACAGTTTGCAAACGTTCCTTTGTATACATTTCCCAATTTCATGACCAGGATAAAATAGTAAGCAGGCCTCGGTTTGCTAATGGGAGTTTTTAATCAGTGACTAGGGTATCTTGCAACCTGACTACAGCCCCATGGTGTAGTTGTTAGTTGACTCACACTGTAGAACAGGGCACAAGCTAGACCAAACCTTTGCAAGAAGAGTTAAAATTGCTGGTTTAAATACAGATTTAGAATTAAGTGGAAGAGCAAAGATGGAAAATTATATTTTTAACAAAAGAGAATATTCAGGCTTTATTTCTGGTATGAAGTTTATATTTTTTAAAAAAAATAATATCCTATATTATCACACCAGAGATTTTAGATTCCTTTCTGGTTATAAACATTGCTGGTAGCTGGATTATATTTTTATTGTATTCATTTCTCTTAGGGGGAAAATTGTAAAGAAACAAAAAGATTCCGGATGAATGTATCCTAGAAATAAAAGTTGAAAGATTCTTACTTCTGTGGAGTATGAATTCTTATTTAAATAAGGGTTTCTCATTCAGCTTCATAGTTCCTGCAGTTTGCCTTGACAAGCAGGGGTTGGGAAATAATACACCCTCTGACTAAGGGATGAGACTGCAAAAGGAAGCCTGTGAGTTTTTAATAGCTCTCCATCTCATGTTTGTTATGGGTGGTCAGTGGTTTTCATTAATTAGCAATTTGGCCACAGCTCTTCCAGACATGGGTTTTCTTCTAGAAATATTTTTTGGTCTAATTTTTGGAACAAGTCACCAAGGTTATTACAATAGTCATTTAATTGGAGAAGGGGTGGTGAAGTGTGTTCAACTTCCCTTCCCTCTTTTCATTAATGCATGTTAATTATATAAAATAATGCATTTAATTATAGCATTTCATACATGTATGTCATGGGCTTTGATCATACTCCCCCCTTCCCCCCTTACCTCCTTTTGTCCCCCTTACAGGAACGAGGCTCAGGAGTCAAATAGTTCCCCTTCTTTCTCAGTTCTACTTTTGTGTCTTTTTTTTTTTTTTGAAATTATATTTTGCATATGAGAGAAAACATGTGAATATTTCTCTTATTTTGCTCAACATAATGGTCTCCAGGCTTATTTTCCTGTAAATGACACAGTGTTGTTCTTTATGGCAGAATAAAGCTGTTGATCTGTTGGTGACCACCAATGCTGACTCACTCCATTTGGCTATCATGAATATTGTCTCAAGGATGTGTTCCAGCATCTCCTGATATGTGCTTGGATTTCTTGAGCATATACCCAGAAATGGTACGGGAGGGTCATATGGTCGTCCCGTTTTCAGTTTCTTGAGGAATTTCATTTCACAGCAATTGGACATTTATAGAAAATGGAGCAGAAAGCACAGGGAGTCTCCATGAACCTCCACCCAGCTTCTGTTAACAGTTTGCACTAGTGTTGTTCACCGACCATATGAATTAACCAATAATTTCACACAGTAACTAAAATTCATAGTTCACACTAGGGTCCACTTTTGTCCTAAAAGATAGTTTTGCCATCATTATGTCTCCTTCATTACAGCTTCATGCAGAAAAGATTTGCAGTCCCCCAAGTCCCTGTACGTCAACTGCTCCCCACTCCCTCTTCAACTCCTGCTGGCCGTTGGCTTCTGCACTGTCTTTCTGGTGCTGCCCTTCTCTGAACGTTGGAGTTGGAATTATACAGTACGTGACAACCTTTCAAGGCTGAGTGCTTTGTGACTGTCTCTCATGCCTTTTCATGCTCAGTAGCACATTTACCTGGGCAGACCACAGTCCAGCTACCCACTCTTCTCTTGATGGAGCGACCTTGGGTGCTTTCAGTTCTTGAAGCGTTAGAAGAAAACATTCTTGTTACATGTGTGTTTGTGACCATACAGTTTCAGTGTTATCTGGGTGAAAAGTCTTGGTGCAACTTACAGAAAGACCCTAGATTGCTTTAAAGAAACTTTTTCCCAACGTCTCGTTACCATTTTGTATCCCACCAGCAATATGTAATAGGTCCTGTTTCTCCCGTCACAGTGAGCGTTTAGTCTCTTCTGTCTTCTGGGTGTCAGTCATTAGAATGTGTGTGTGGTGTCACTGCTTTGTCTTCATAACTCACTGAAGATGCTGGTTGTCCTCTCGTTAGCTAATATGCTGGTGAGTTTTTTGTTTTTTTGGGGGGGATTTTAATTCATTTTTAAAAGGATTATTTTATGTGTGTGTGTGTGTGTTTTGCCTGTCTGCATGTATATGCACCACGTGTGTGTCCATTGTCCATGGAGGCCAGAAGAGGACATCAGATCTGGAACTGAAGTTAAAGACGCTGTGAGCTGTTGAGTGGGATCCGGGAACCAAACTCAGGTCCTCTGCAAGAGCAGCCAGTGCTTTTAACCTAGAGCTGCCTATCTGTCCCTGATTTTATCTACTTTTAAAAATTATTTTCTTACTGAGTTTTTTTTAATGATTATTTTATGTACATTGGTGTTTTGCCTGCATGCATGTCTGTGTGAGGGTGTCAGATCCCCTGGAACTGGAGTTATAGACATATGGGTGCTCAGAATTGAACCTGGGTCCTCTGGAAGAACAGCCAGTGCTCTTAACTGTTGACCCATCTCTCTAGCCCTTCTTACTGAGTTTTTAGGATTCTGTGTGTGCATTTTGGATATAGTTCCATTATCAGACATATTTTGTATTTTTTTCCTTGGTGCTTGCTTTATATTCTCTTGTTTTGTGCTCTCCCCTGAAAAAAAAAGCAAATAAATAAAATGGATATATTATAGGAATACATAATACAGAAGGTAAAGTTTAAAAAAATTAAACAATTTTTTTTGCTTTATTATAAAAAACTCTTGGAAATAAAAACATTTCTAACCTTTTTTTAAAGATTTTATTTATTTATTATGTATACAACATTATGCTTCCATGTATATCTGCACACCAGAAGAGGGCACCAGATCTCATAATGGATGGTTGTGAGCCACCATGTGGTTGCTGGGAATTGAACTCAGGACCTCTGGAAGAGCAGTCAGTGCTCTTAACCGCTGAGCCATCTCTCCAGCCTTCTAACCTTTTTTTACAGAGCCTTTTTTTTTTTTTTCAGATCATGC